AGAGGTTTTGGGATGGTTTAGGATTGAGTGGGATACACTGGGATAGTTTGGGATGAATTAGGATTGAGTGGGATATACTGGGATAATTTGGTGATGATTTAGGATTGAGTGGGATATACTGGGATAGTTTGGGATGGTTTAGGATTGAGTGGGATAGACAGGATATACTGGGATAGATTGGGATGATTTAGGATTGAATGGGATATACTGGGATAGTTTGGGATGATTTAGAATTGAGTGGGATAGAGTAAGATGGTTTAGGATTGAGTGGGATAGAGTAGGATGGTTTAGGATTGAGTGGGATAGAGTAGGATGGACTGGAAGGATTTAGGATGGAGTGGGATAGAGTGGGATGGTCTTGGATGCTTTAGGATTGAGTGGGATAGTTTGGGATGATTTAGGATTGAGTGGGGTAGAATAGGGTGGTCTGGGACTAGGCCGGGATGGATCAGGATAGACTGGGATGGATTGAGACAGACTGGAGTTGGATTGGTATAGACTGGGATATACTTGAATTGATTGGATAGACTGGAGTGGCCTAGGCGAGACTGGGTTTGACTGGGATGGATTAGGATAGACTGGCGTTGACTGGGATACATGAGGACAGACTGGGATGAACTGGGATAAACTTGGTGACTTTGTATATCATTATCTCTCTGTGTGGACTAGATGGCTGTGTATGATATCATCTATCTGTCTTTTTACTGTATAAAAGAATTTCAGGGTTATATCTCTCTCCCTCTCTCTCTCTCTCTCTCTCTCTCTCTCTCTCTCTCACTTCCTCCTCCTCTCCCTCCCTAAAATAATTTCAGGGTTATCTCTCTCTCCCTCTCTCTCTCTCTCTTTCTCTCTTCCTCCTCCTCTCCCTCCATAAAATAATTTCAGGGTTATATCTCTCTCCCTCTCTCTCTCCTCTCTCTCTCTCTCTCTCTCTCCTCTCTCTCTCTCTCTCTCTCTCTCTCTCTCTCTCTCTCTCTCTCTCTCTCTCTCTCTTCCTCCTCCTCTCCCTCCCTAAAATAATTTCAGGGTTATCTCTCTCTCTCTCTCTTCCTCCTCATCTCCCTCCCTAAAATAATTTCAGGGTTATCTCTCTCTCTCTCTTCCTCCTCCTCTCCCTCCCTAAAATAATTTCAGGGTTATCTCTCTCTCTCTCTCTTTCTCTCTCTCTCTCTCTCTCTCTCTCTTCCCCCCCTCTCTCTCTCTCCTCACATTATCATTCCTGGCGATGTTGTAAGGACCATCGACCGGGTCCTTCGTAGTGTCGTACATCTGCAGTTGCCCGTCGGTCTTGCCAGGGACGAGGAAACCCGACGTCCAGATAACTCCTTCAGCACCTGCTACAGAGCCTTCAGGAGGAGGATAAGGATGGAAGGATGTAAAAGGAGAGATGGATAATTTGTGTAAATGATCTTAAGGAGTGTAATAGGATGAAAAGATAGATGAAAGATATATAAATCTTACGAGGGAGATGATACGACAAAAAATGAATTCATTAATAAACAAATCGAATTATGGAAATAACAGTGAAAAAAAAAATAAAAAAAAAATCTTACCAGGAAGATAATTGTGATAATTGATTGGATATAAGTTCAGTTTTATCAAGAAAATATGATAAATAAAAAAGCATACCTAGTCGGTTTTATCTTATATGAAGATAACGATTAAAAAAATCAGTATATAAAAAATATCAAGTCTAATTGGAGAGATAAGATAAGTAAACAATATGCTAAAAACGTAAAAAAAAGTCTATTATATCTGGGAAATTATTTGGAATAGGAAGATATGCAAAACAAAAAAAGAAGAAAAGAACTGTCTTATCTGAGAAATTATATTTAAAACAAAACAGATTATATAAGATTATATGATCAGTAGATAATAGAATACAAAAAAATAATTAAGAGATAATACGATAAAAGCACATCAATCATTCAGGTCTTACTAACAAAATTATAAAAAAAAACAGTCTTACTAACAAAATTATAAAAAAAACAGTCTTACTAACAAAATTATAAAAAAAAAAAACTAACTTACTAAGGAAATTATGCGATGAATGAAAATCAAGTCAATTTTATTTGGGAGACATGATTAAAAAAATAAATATAAAATAGAAATAGAAATACATAATATCATTCTTATTTAGGGGATATTATAATAAAAATAAATAAAATCTGTCTTAAGAGGGAAGTAATGTGATAGATAATTATGATAATCTTAACTACGGAGAATAATTATCATAATTGTTATAATTATTATAATTATAATAACTATCATAATTATTAACAGATAATCATGATAATCTTAACTAGAGAGAAATAATGCAATAAGGGCATATCAAGTCAATCTTATTTGGGAGATTTTGTGATAAAAAAAAACAACAACATATAAACTCAGCCTTAAATATGACAAAAAAAAACATTCAGTCTTACTAAGAACAATCTTATTTAGGAGATTATGTGATTAAAAAATAAAAAAAAAAAACATACAAATTCAGCCTTAAATATGACAAAAAGTATTCAGTCTAAGAACAATACGACAAAATATATCAAGTGACTATTATTGGAGAGATTCTATAAGAATGAAAAAAATCTGTCTTACTAGGGTGATTCTATGATTATAAAAAAAAAAAAAATGTAAGATTATATGATTTTAAAAATTCAGTCTTACTAAGAAAATAAGAGAATAAAACCACCAATTCAATCTTAAAACTAAAAAAAAAAACAAGCAAATCAGTCTTACGAAGAAAACTTAAAACGAAAAACAAACAGACAAACAAACAGTCTTATTAAGAAAACCACCAATTCAGCCTCAAAACGGGAAAAAGTCTCACTAGGCAGAGAATCAGGGTTGTTGGGCCAGAAGACTTAAAACGAAAAAAAGAAAAAAAAAGAAAAAAAAAGCAAATCAGTCTTACTAAGAAAACAGCAGACTAAAACCACCAATTCAGACTTAAAACGGAAAAAAGTCTTACTAGGCAGATAATCAGGGTTGTTAGGCCAGAAGACTTAAAACGAAAAAAAAAAAAAAAAGCAAATCAGTCTAAGAAAACAGCAGACTAAAACCACCAATTCAGTCTTAAAACGGAAAACAGTCTTACTAGGCAGATAATCAGGGTTGTTAGGCCAGAAGACTTAAAACTAAAAAAAAAAAAAAAAAAAAAAAGCAAATCAGTCTTACTAAGAAAACAGCAGACCAAAACCACCAATTCAGTCTTAAAACGGAAAAAAGTCTTACTAGGCAGATAATCAGGGTTGTTAGGCCAGAAGACTTAAAACGAAAAAAAAAAAAAGCAAATCAGTCTTACTAAGAAAACAGCAGACTAAAACCACCAATTCAGTCTTAAAACGGAAAAAAGTCTTACTAGGCAGATAATCAGGGTTGTTAGGCCAGAAGACTTAAAACTAGAAAAAAAAAAGCAAATCAGTCTTACTAAGAAAACAGCAGACTAAAACCACCAATTCAGTCTTAAAACGGAAAAAAGTCTTACTAGGCAGATAATCAGGGTTGTTGGGCCAGAAGGCAGACTGGTCCATGACTTCGATGTTCCACGAGGCGATGTCATCCAGGAAACGACCCGGGGACTTCATGCGGTAGACTTCATCTTCCTGGCAAAGAGAAATGAATATTGTTTTTTTTTTTTCTTTTAAAATTTTTGAATTTTCTTTTTTCTTTTTTTTTCTTTTTCTTCCCTTTCTTCTTTTTTCTTCTCCTCCTCTTCCTTCTTCTTCTTCTTCTTTTTCTTCTCCTTCCTCTTCGTCTTCTTCTCTTTCTTCTACTTCTCCTTCTTTTTCTTCTTCTTCCTCTTCTTTTTCTTATATTTCCTACCATGCGCTGCACACAACAACAATAATAATAATCATCATAATAAAGATGATAATAATAATAGGAATATTAAGGATGCTACTAATATTTTCATTAATAATAATAATAATAATAATGATAATAGTAATAATAATAATAATCATCACCATCATCATCATCATCACAATAATAATAAAAATGATAATGTAAGGTGGCCTTCCACAGCCTGCCATCTCTTCCTCCCCGCCAGCCTCCCTATCATCCCCCGCGCCCTGACAAATCTTGCAACCCGGTCAACGCTTTCTGCAATCGCCCTCTTTAGATTTCTTTGTGTACCTATGTTCACTTATTTCTGTTTTATTGTTCCGTTTCGCGTTGGTGTTTCGTGTAAGTCCGTTCATTAGCGACTCATTTTTGTGCAAATTATTTCTCGCTTTTTTATGTGAGCTTCTGTGGTTATCTATATTATCTTTAATTGTCTTCTATTATTATTTTACTTTTTTGTTACTTTGTTCTGTCTACGGAAACTTATTCTGATTTTAAGATATGTCTGTTTTAACATATTTTATCTATTGTACTTTTTTCTGTCTACTCTACATTAAGTATGTATTTTTTTATGTTATATCTCGTTATGAAGGTCATTTCATTCATAATTTTAGTGCCTTTCCTAATGTTTCTTTGTACAAACTATGTTTTGGCATGGCTTATGACGTCACGACCTGTTAATAATAATGATAACAATAATAATAGTAATAATGATACTACTACTACTACTACTACTAATAATAATAATAATGATAATGATAATAATGATAATAATAATAACAATGATGATAATAATAATAATGATAATGATAATAATAATAATAACAATAATAATAATAATAATAACAATAATAATAATAATAATAATAATGAAAAAAAAAAAATAATAATAATAACAATAATGATAATAATAATAATAATAACAATAATAATAATATTAATGATAATAATAATAATAATAATAATAATAATAATAGTAATAATAATAATAATAATAACAATAATAATAACAATAATAATAATAATAATAATAACAATAACAATAATAATAACAATAATAATAATAACAATAATAACCCTCCCTCCCTTTCCCTCCCTCCCTTCTCCCTTCCCCACCCTCCCTTCTCCCCCTCCCTCCCTTTCCCTTCTCCCTTCCCCACCCTCCCTTCTCCCCCTCCCTCCCTTTCCCTTCTCCCTTCCCCACCCTCCCTTCTCCCCCTCCCTCCCTTTCCCTTCTCCCTTCCCCACCCTCCCTTCTCCCCCTCCCTCCCTTTCCCTCCCTCCCTTCTCCCTTCCCCACCCTCCCTTCTCCCCCTCCCTCCCTTTCCCTTCTCCCTTCCCCACCCTCCCTTCTCCCCCTCCCTCCCTTTCCCTTCTCCCTTCCCCACCCTCCCTTCTCCCCCTCCCTCCCTTTCCCTTCTCCCTTCCCCACCCTCCCTTCTCCCCCTCCCTCCCTTTCCCTTCTCCCTTCCCCACCCTCCCTTCTCCCCCTCCCTCCCTTTCCCTTCTCCCTTCCCCACCCTCCCTTCTCCCCCTCCCTCCCTTTCCCTCCCTCCCTTCTCCCTTCCCCACCCTCCCTTCTCCCCCTCCCTCCCTTTCCCTTCTCCCTTCCCCACCCTCCCTTTCACTTCTCCCCCCTCCCTTTCCCTTCTCCCTTCCCCACCCTCCCTTCTCCCCCTCCCTCCCTTTCCCTTCTCCCTTCCCCACCCTCCCTTCTCCCCCTCCCTCCCTTTCCCTTCTCCCTTCCCCACCCTCCCTTCTCCCCCTCCCTCCCTTTCCCTTCTCCCTTCCCCACCCTCCCTTCTCCCCCTCCCTCCCTTTCCCTTCTCCCTTCCCCACCCTCCCTTCTCCCCCTCCCTCCCTTTCCCTTCTCCCTTCCCCACCCTCCCTTCTCCCCCTCCCTCCCTTTCCCTTCTCCCTTCCCCACCCTCCCTTTCACTTCTCCCCCCTCCCTTTCCCTTCTCCCTTCCCCACCCTCCCTTCTCCCCCTCCCTCCCTTTCCCTTCTCCCTTCCCCACCCTCCCTTCTCCCCCTCCCTCCCTTTCCCTTCTCCCTTCCCCACCCTCCCTTCTCCCCCTCCCTCCCTTTCCCTTCTCCCTTCCCCACCCTCCCTTCTCCCCCTCCCTCCCTTTCCCTTCTCCCTTCCCCACCCTCCCTTCTCCCCCTCCCTCCCTTTCCCTCCCTCCCTTCTCCCTTCCCCACCCTCCCTTCTCCCCCTCCCTCCCTTTCCCTCCCTCCCTTCTCCCTTCCCCACCCTCCCTTCTCCCCCTCCCTCCCTTTCCCTTCTCCCTTCCCCACCCTCCCTTCTCCCCCTCCCTCCCTTTCCCTTCTCCCTTCCCCACCCTCCCTTCTCCCCCTCCCTCCCTTTCCCTTCTCCCTTCCCCACCCTCCCTTCTCCCCCTCCCTCCCTTTCCCTTCTCCCTTCCCCACCCTCCCTTCTCCCCCTCCCTCCCTTTCCCTTCTCCCTTCCCCACCCTCCCTTCTCCCCCTCCCTCCCTTTCCCTTCTCCCTTCCCCACCCTCCCTTCTCCCCCTCCCTCCCTTTCCCTCCCTCCCTTCTCCCTTCCCCACCCTCCCTTTCACTTCTCCCCCCTCCTTCCCTTTCCCTCCCTCCCTTCTCCCTTCCCCACCCTCCCTTCTCCCCCTCCCTCCTTTTCCCTCCCCCTCCAACCAGACTCTCAGAAAACAATGCCCGACGAACCTTGAGATGAATCTGCCCCAAGAACCGAGGCTGCCACGCTGGTTTCTCCACTTCGCCCGTACTGCTGTTAGACGGAGCTGCAGCCGCCACGCCCACCAGCGCTATAGCCACCCACGTTCTCTGCCACATTCTGGAGAGGAGGATAGTGATAATGATGATTATGGTGTTGATAATAATGATTGTGATGATGTTGGTTATGTTAATGATGATGATGATGATGATTGTGATGATGTTGGTAATGATGATGATTGTGATGATGTTGTTAATGATGATGATGATGACTGTGATGGTGTTGATAATGATGATAATGATTGTGATGATTGTGATAATGATAATGATGATGATTATGATGATAAGAACAATAATATTGATAATCATAATAACAAGGCAATGAAAATAATAGGAATGATGATAATTGTTACAAAGTAATAATTACAATAACAATAATGATAATACGACATCTAATACTATTGATAATAATAATGATAGTAACAATAATAATGTTATCATAAATAATGATAATAATAATGATAATATCAATACCAAAAATAACAATAATAATGATAACGATGATAATAATGATGATGATAATGACGATGATGATGATACTAACAATAGTAATAACAATAATGATAACCATAATAGTAACAACAACAACAAAACAACAATATTAATAATAATAATAATGTGATAATAATGATAATGATAATAATAGTAACAATAATAACAGTAATAATGACAAGTATGACAATAAAATGATGATGATAATTATAAGGATAATAATAATGATGATGGTAGTAATGCTAATGATGATAATGGTAATGATAATGATAATAACAATAACAATAATAAGAAGTATGATAATAATAATAATAACAATAATAACAATAATAATAATAATAATAATAATAATAATAATAATAATAATGATAATAATAATAATAACATGTTACTAAA